TGGATCCGAATTTAGGACTAGAGAATATGAAGTTGGTTACCCTCAGTGATCAATCAGTGTACCTAATCCAGTCCTACAGGAGATCAGTCGCGGCCCGAATAACTCAGTGGTAATATCTCTGACTGCAGCAGTAAGTGATGTGGGTTCGAAGACTGGGGAAAACATCTGTTCCGTAGAGACTGGGCATACGCATTGCTGACGAATATCAACAAGAACAAAACCTAGGTCAGGCAAGAATTCCTGCCGATAGTCTCTAACCAACCTTTTATTTCTAACTGCATCATTGACAGAGGTATGCCTGAATGAAGAATGAGTTATAAAAATTTCTGATATTGTAAATATGTCTTATGAAAAACATCAGCCGACAGAGTTTTGGCGTAGAAAATGACATTTTCTCCTAATTTTTCCGGCTAACTTATCATGGTTGTGCATCTCGCAGAAATGCATAGCTACTTTACATAAAATTATATATGATACATTTGGCAGATGATTTAGGTTTTCCAAAGAGACACAAACTACCAGAATGCAATTCTTTCATGTTCGCTGATGACTACCGATAAGCACTTAACCTAGGTCTTTGGCTTCATACTACTTACGTTCATTCGCTTTAAATTAGTCAGAATGTATAGTGATGGCGGGTATCCCAGTTTTGTGACCCCATTTCAAAATGATAGTTAAAATTCAGTTGTTATGAAGGACAGAAAGCATAATGTAAGTAAATGCCTATTATACATAATTGAAGCTTTGGGAATATGGAAGTGGAATCCAGAATAGTGTGTTCAAAAGCAAGTTTTCTCACAGCCTGATTATGCATGTGTGGATATATGGACGATAACCTTCACATTCTACTCTCAACAGTTGCTCAGTTCCTCAGAAAATAGAAAAGGAGGTAAAACAAAAGACGGTGTATTGCAACACCAAGACATGTACCAAATATAACACTTTTTATATACTTACAATGAGCTTGGTTGTCTTCAAGCCCTTCTAGAAGGATAATGTCTATTGATTTTTACCTTCTAAACTGGTTTGATATTTAGGCACATGATCATGTGTCTTTTCTTGAAACTTACAGGCACGATGAATTACGGCAAAGGCTTCAGAGATTTTGGTGGCTTCTTTGAAGAGTGTGGACAGTTTTATTGCATTTTATAACACTTCTATTCTGTTCACTTATTAACTTTGTCAATCATAAAAACCTAAATAACTCTTCTTATCTCTTGCGCTTCGAAGTAAATAACTGTTGACACTATATTGCAGTCAGCTTAGTGGCTAGCAGTGGAATCGAGGACCTGTGTTTAATCCTATTTAAGACTCATCAGGTGGATGTACGTGGACCCCAGTGAGTGTTGTTGCCACTGAGACTTGAACCCAGTAGCTATCACTTCAAACGCCAAAGGGTTATCTACTAGACCACTGAGCCAATACAGTCACCACTTGTGCAACGAATATCAGTTGTTGTTTGTTGTGCTGGATTCTTGTCTCAGGGGGAACAACGCCACTCACTGGGGTGAAAGTTTCTCTGACTGACAATTCCCAAATAGAAAGGAACGTACGTCTTGGACTCGACTGCTAACCATGAAATAGACTATAATACAGTGAATATTTAGGCAGTATCGAACCATCCACATAGGAGCCCATCTTTCGACAGTGGTTGAACAATCCGACCTAGTATAGTGACAGGAAATCACAAGTTCATCAACTTAACTTTTATCCCAATATTCTACTGCGTTCCGTCTCATTTAGTCATATGATGACATGTAATTTATCCATGCGTAGTAATGATAACATTTTTTTATTATCTCGAAAATGGCTTTTTTTCTTGAAGGGAGATTCAACAGTTCCAATGGTAATTACTATTTATCTAACCTAGTTACAGACATAAATTATTATGTTCCAGATAAATTGTACATTCATGTACATTCATCATTAAGACAGTTTTACATGTATATTTGTCAAAAGAAGCATATCAAACTAACAAACCTGGTTACTAGACTGAAGGGTAATTTTTTTATCATTCAAAAAAAAACAAGGATATTTTTGTTGCCATGATGTACAGTCACAAGAATAAACTTGTCTAATAGTCATCCTAGTAATATTTGCTATTGTATGTGTGTGTGTACGTGTATGTAAGCCTCTTTGTTTGCTGGAGGTTGTTGCTATATACTGATATCATGTGTTTTTCTTTTATTGAATGTCTTCTTTCATTGAACATTTAAATTTGTTTAAATGCATAAATCCTAATTGTATTAATGAGACTTAAAAATACACCCATACATTCCCATCAGTACTATATAATGAAAGGATTCATTCATTCATTGAAAATATAAGAAAATAAATAATAATATAGTTTGAGAAGAATTTAAATATCATAGTGATAATATTGTCTCTTGATCTGTCTACACTTGCTATGCATACAAGCACACGTAAACATTGTAAATCCAAGTACAAGAAAATAGTGTATACAATTGAGTTTCAATATAAATTGATGTTTCAATTTCGAGTATTCGTTTGTTTAAAGTTAATTTGTCATTCAATCAACCAAGTTATTCATTCAGTAATATATATATATATATATATATATATATATATATATATATATATATATATATATAAAGATAAGATGGAACAAACTAAAAGGGAAACATCATATTCATAAGGTTTAACTGGGTAAATTCAAGAAGGATTTTATTGGTAGTCTTTGTGTAAACATGAACATCATAACACACTGGAGACGCACACACACATTCACACACGTACATGTATGCAGATACACACAAGTACGCAAACATAGTGACTTTCTGTGTTATTTTCTTGTGAAATACTTTTTCTTTTTACTTCACTACCTTCTTCCCATTGCCGTTTTGAAATGATCATAATGAAGATAATTAAAATACCAAGATCCAGTATATTGATGGTACTAATCATTACAATAATAGTAGTATTGTCAATAATTGTCAAAAAAAAACAACACAAATGATAAAGATTTATTTTGCATACACCTGCATATATACAGTAGTACTAATTACAAGATGCGGGATATCATAGGTGTAATGTATCTATCTATTCCTAGAAAGCAATTGTAAGCATTAAGTACTTTGAAATTCTACTGAAATTTATAGGAGTTGATACATACACTTGATATACTCATTGGGATTATTTATCTTTGCCCTAACAACCTCATCGTCACTCCTACCCCTTTATTTTATTTGAAAAGCTTTTCATAATATAGTTAAAATGTAAATGGAGAGACAGTTTAAAAAGAATGACTGGGTAATACACACATACAGTATATGTATGCATGTGTAGTTAAACAGAGGAAGAATTTCGCTGATGAGTAGGCTAATAGAATGCTAGATAGGATAACTTTGTGACATTTGAAGGGATGAGTAAGGGGTTGGAGTCTCTGTGGGAACACCATCACTCATTGGGGTGTAGCTTCATATAGCTGAGTATTCCTAAGTAGAAAGAGTGCACACCATGGAGCTCACTGATAACCACAACCAAGTAAATTATGAGAATGTTAGATTCTGTTTACTTATAAACAGATAGGCTGTTGAAATTCTGAAGTTTGAATAGATAAACTGTAGAAACGGATACGGAGTCCCGTGATTATCTTTTGTACTGCGCCCAAAGTATACTTGTAGACAGCTATCACTTCGTCAGAGAGGAGATGAATAGTGGCAGTATAGCACCTAGAATAACTGCATAGTAAGTGATGCAAGTGAATGGTGACTTAGACGTTGTAGTCATTTTAAATAGTAAAGGTCTAAAATCTCATTAACTGAATTTCTTACCTTTTCTGTCATTATATGGTCAGTTTCTCTGTTGCTTTCATGAATCTTCTACGTGTATCTTTTTCTATCAGGAATAGATGAACCATAAATTGACGTCAGAGGAGCTATTTTGTCCCACTTTGAGACTCCCCAAGAATTCAGTTACGACACCAGGAACAATTCAGCTCACTATCATCATATTTGGACAGTGAGGTGAATGTTCACTGATGATACTTAACTGTAGTCAGACTATACTGTGAACTAACAGTAGTTAAAGAGGATCGGTTAATTCCAGCCTAGTGGCTAAGTGGAAACATGCTCGTCTCAGACTCAGGTCTCAGGCTCCATCTTTCATGGGGTCATGATCAAGTACTACTGAGCAGTCCTAAATCAAGATGGAAAACCTATTCAGTGTTTCGAGGTCGTAAATGTTTCTCTAGATGACGAACATCCATGAGGAAAAGCACAGTGAAAGCAATGAATTCCCAGTAACCTCCATCCTTAACAAATAGATTTGCAATACATTATGTATGACTTTACAGAGTAATAAACATAACCTTATAAATTGGGTACTTTCTCTTGCCGGCAACTTGAAGGATAGGAAAAAAAACACTGGTGTGATGACCTTACGGGTTAAAATTAGATTGGATCATTCTGTAGAGTAAGAATTCTTACAATTGATTCCAGACCATAGGGGACTGAAAATAGATCTACATTAATTGTACTTGAAAGAACTTCGCCAGGTAGATAGATTAAGATCACTACTCTTGAACATTGAACGGTACTTTCTTCATGCTTCTAAATACCCTTAAACATTCAATTAATGGTACCTTTTCAAACTACAGTTCACTTTAGTGTAAAAAGAATCATAATTCAATAGGTTCGTAGTGTCAGATCTCAATGATTTCTCAGACTTATCAGTGTCTGGCTAGTAATTTCAAGTTAAATATCATTAAATACGAAAGTACACTTTTGAAGTTTGTAGAGATTAACTGATTTCAGGTTGGTATTCATCGTGGACTGACATCAGTTGGGGAAACATTTGAGGACTGGGATCATTGGTGGGGCCATGGGTTCGCACTGCTGAGAAGTCGCATATTAGGACAAAATATCTATCTAGTGTTCCCATATTCTCAATGTTCCTAAAATTGATATCAGTTCATGATGAATACCAACCCGAAATACAAAAATAGTGAAATACAAAAAGAACCAATCAAAAGGCCTTACTTGAATTGTGATCATTACTATTTAATCCCATTGAAGCATTGTATCCCATTTGTTTATTATGATTATTATATTGTTGATAGTAATGACTAGCTGCATATAACCATGACAACGGATCATTCAACGTTTCAATTGTCTTCAAAGTATTCCTTCTATCTGAATTAGAATGTAAAGTATTCAATATCGATTGAAAGTCAACAATTGATTCATACTTCATATGAAAGGTGTCGCTAAGATTAATGTTGGCTTGTAACTTGTCAGTATTATTATTATTTGTAGTAGTAGTAGTATCAGAGTTGTTTTCACTCTTATTACTTTTAACACAGTCATAATCATTATCAATACGTTGACCATTTGAAAAGTAGGATATTGTATGCCTTGACGTTTTGTGTGCTGTACCATTCTTACTACTGCTACTACCAGTAGTTTTGAAATCTGTAGCTGTTGTAGTGGAAGGACTACTGTTGAAAGAAACAGAAGAAGGCGTTCCATACGATGTAGTGTTAAAATCAGTTTCAGTGTTATTTTCATTTGCTGTTGAACAGCATTTATAGTTTACAGGATCCATTGTCTGATGAGGAAAATTACGTTGGAATTTATTTGGTGACATTTTCTTAAATGATGATAATTTTGCTTTACTAGTGTGGAACAGAATTTGTTCATTGTAAGATGAAGATATTTTGTTGCTTGCATTGAGACTGTTAGATGAATGTGGCTGGTGATGATGACTTTGTGAATTATCAAAGGATGAAGGTGATCCCATTGATACATTTAGCATTGTTGAAGGCGAAGAAACAGAAGGCTGATTAGTGTTGGTAGTGAACTCTGTAGATTTAGATAAACAATGATGATTTGGAGATATACAAGAACATAGATAAGGATGTGATGTGGAAGGCGAGTTCGATGATGGTGGAATACGTGAAGGGAATACAGGCGGAAATGGAAAAGTTCCAGTAGGTGGAAACAAAAGTGTTGTAGAAGGTGAAGGAGGGGAGACCGGATCAGGCTGAAATGATACTAGATTATGAGTCAATGTGTCCATAGATCTAGTATCTTCTTTACTGTTGTTATTATTATTGGTTACGGTCCTGTTCAGCTGTGATGCCTGATTTGCCGATGAAATGGCTACAATTAAAGCTGTTTCTAAATTTTCATTTGGTGATATTTGATATTTGCCGGTTTCAACTTCTTGTAAACGTTTGGCTTTTGCTCGACGATTCTGAAACCATATTTTCACTTGTGTTTCAGTAAGTGTAAGTTTATTTGAAAATTCTGCGCGCTCTAAAGATAAGAGTAAAGGGAAGAAGATTTAAACAAAGATATTGATTATTCTGTAAACATATACTAACATCAGCTAGCCAACCATTGAAAACCTTGACAGCTGTTTCATTCCTGTATGGGACTCCTCAACAGCACGTAACCATGACCCGGCTAGGGATTTAACTAGAAACTTTCAGGTTCTACGGTGAACGCGTGAACCATTCAGCCACTGGGTCAGAGTTCAATGGTTCACAGTTTCCAACTTCTGTCAATCAGCGATATACCATGACCGTCACCCAAGGTTTTCAGATGAAATCCACCTCCCCTCATACTGGTTGACCCCATAGGTCACAGCTTCTCATTAGAACTTCATGATATTCGTCTGGAAGCATATTACTAATGAACACTATATAGCAATGTATTTTTTGAGATGAATGGGGATTTTCATTTGGAGGTAGTATTCATCACGGGCTGATATTAGTTTCCCAACTGACTGTTAGACAACAATTGATCATATTTATATCAAATTAGTCACACAACTTCGTGTCTTAGTATTTTATGGTTCCACTACCTTTTCATTCTTTAGTTTTATTAATAGTAGCATTTTTCATATACCTGGAATTGGTGTTGAATCATTCCATTTATATGTGTTAGGCATCAAATCGATGATGAGAGATTCAGTGATCAACCTCTCTCTCGCTCTACTTACTTACATTGGTCTTCAGGACTGTCATTTTGTCTCACACTATCATTTGGCTGTAAGCTTGTTGTATTCATAGCTATGGCTGATTTATTCTCTAAATTACTCATCTTAGTAAAGTTTGTTAATTCAAACTTAACAAGGTTCCTATGTTCTCTTAATCTGACTGACCCAGTTAGGCTAGTTTCGCCAAGTTGCCTGACCTCATAGTCATTGCAAAGTATTTGGTAAATTAAATTATTCTCACTAATTAGGTCCACATAATCTTTAGGCTATCAAAGCTTGTTTGTGAGTGAATTTTTAGGTTTGAATGCCACGTTAATTGCAACCTTGTTAATAATCTAACGTAGGGTTTCGAATATGTCTTCCTTGTATGACAACACCTTAGAGGCTTTGAATTTTTTCTCCGTAGTGTTGCTATCATCATTGATATCACTAGGTCCCGCTTTATTACGTATGATCATATATTGGTGAATAAATTTAAGAGAATAATTATTCAGAAGGGAAGCTTCTGCTATGTGTTCGACTTCTTTGACTAAACCTACCTTTACTGATGTGAGATGAAATGACCTGAAGTCTGAATATTTATTGAAATGTGATGGTTTTCCGTAGAAACTTGTGTGTGAACCACTATCTTTTCTTCGTTTTATTTTACAGTCTGATGTACTTAACAATCGTTGTTCGTCTTCGAACTCGAAACTGAACTGTATCCCATCTGCCAAAGAGCTTACCCGTGTAAAGAAGCTACGGATATGTTCCAATTTTAACATATTAAATGTGTCATCCATATATTTCCATCATAGTTTAGCAGTAGGACAAAATGTTCCAAGAGCTATACGTCCTCAGCTGCTCATATAAATGTCTGCTGCAAATGGAGATATTGGGGATCCTATGGCTACTACTGTCGTTTGTTGATATACTTTATCTTAAAATTCGAAAAATATAGAGTTCAGACAAATGAACTCCTGACACGATGTCTTCAGTCCATTAATTAGTACTATGAGCAAAATTAGAATCATTTACAAGTGCGTTTCTGACAGCTTTTAGACCCATAATCCTGGTAGAATGTAATAACCTAGTTTACGCACTTTTATAGTATCATGTATTCTACTAGAAACTTCGCTTGGTTAACTAGTTCACTAGTTACTAGCCTGTCCTAAACAAGGATAAAGAGGGAAGGTTGGCCATACAACTAGCAACCTGACTCCAGAAAACCAATCCAACCGCCAAACAAACTTCAAAGCACATAGAAAATATAAAACATAAAAGCAAACTTGTTCCTCGCTGCATTCGGAGAGACAAAATGACACCGGTTGGTGAAAACCTACCTTCGGGAAGCCAATCGGCCTATGTGTCTCTTCTCTCTCTCTCTCTCGATGAAAACGAAAGTAAGGATGGGGACATGGAATGTCTGCACCATGTTTGAAGCTGGCTGACAAGGCTACCCAGATTGCCAAAGAGATGAGGAGGTGTAGCATAGAAATGCTAGGAATCTGGAAAGAATCTGCAGATGGAATGGAAGTGGACTCTCCAAACTGTCAACTGGAGAGGAGTCAATGATCCGCTCTGTTACTGACGACAACCACGACCACACGGAGGGAGTGGCTATCATGATATAGATGCGGAAAGAAACCTGCATAACTGTATTAAGAAGGAAGAGGAAACAAGACAAGGAATGGATCTCCACGTATCTCGACATGGAAGCTGATAGAGCAGGGAAAGGAAGATGGTGATGGTGAAGCAGAAGATAAACCAGTGCAGGCAAGCATGCAAAACGAAAAGAAGAAGTGAGCGCAACGTACAAAACACTGGACAAAGAAGTGAAGAAGAGTGCGCGCAAAGATACACTGGCAAGTGAAACAGAACAGGCTGCAGGTAGGAGAGACCTGACAACATTGTATTAAATAACCAGGTTATTATCTAGGAAGAGATCAACACAGATGAAAGCACTGAGAGATAGTGAAGGAAAGCTGGTTACCGAAGAGGAGAAACTAAGGAAATGATGAGGTGACCACTTTGAAAAACACTTCAATCGACCATCACCATCATCACCACCACCACCTGCAACTCGTCCACAAATACCACCTGCAGCCCAGCCACAGAACTACTGGTGAACACAAATCTCCCAACAAAAGTCGAAGTCCTGAACGCAACGCCATAAAGCTAATGAAATGCGGGACAGCAGCACGACCAGATAGAAACAGACAAAGAAACAACAGCGGATATGCTCACACCATTATTACAGAAGGTTTGCAAAGAAGGAGGGGTACCTACCTGACGATTGGAAGAAGGGCTACCCTGTCAATCTCCCAAACAAGGGAGACCTAAGTGTTTTCAAGAACTCGTGAGGAATCATAGGCCAGTTCCTCTCCACCTCAAACAAAATATTATGCCGCATCACCCTGGAGAGACTAAAGGTTGCTCTGAATTCAAAATTTCAACCGGATCAGGCTGGCTGGCTGAATTCAGAAAGAACAAATCATGTTCGGATCAAATTGCAACGCAACGCATCATCATAGAAGGGAGCGTAGAATTCCAGTCAACTGGATCTGCACCTCAACTTCATCGATTTTGAAGAGGCATTCGACAGTGTCGACTGAGAAGTAATTTGGAAACTGCTTCAACACTACAGTTTCAACCACACAAACCTTTATCAACCTCATTCAAGAGCTGTATGATGACGCCACATGTCGAGTAATTGACAGTGGAAAGCTCAGTGACGTCTTTGAAGTGAATTGATTTGAAGTAAATTGAATTGAATTGAATTGAAGTGAAGTGAAGTGTAGTAAGGACAGGAGGGAGTGAGACAAGGCTGCCACCTAGTATCACCGACCACCTTACTGATTATGGTCGACTGGACTGGATCATGCAGCAAACGATGAGGAGGTGTGAGTAGATGGACACTGGCTGGTTGGATCGATGAAAAGACCCTGGAATACTTGGACCTCGCCAACTATGCTGATTTATCTCTAATGTCTTGTAACACCAGCTAGAAGATCTACAGGCACAAGCTAACAAGTTGACAGGAGAGGCAGGGCAGCGAAGGAAGACGGAACTTCTTTCAGGTGAACGTGGAGAAGATGGAGGTGATGAAGATACTCAAGCGACAACAGCATCAACAACAAGAGGCATCAATCACCATCAACGGTAGAAACCTTAGGGAAGTTGTCTGTTTCACGTACCTGTCTACCTAGGCAGCATTGTTTCAACTACAGGTGGGGGGGGGTGGTGGCACAGATGAGGATGTCAAAGTCGTCAGGATCGGAAAGACAGCAACACAGGCCTCACTTCATTAGTCTGAAATCAGTGTGGAGATCTAGTGCACTGCACTCAGCATAAAGCGTGAACGAGATCCGGATTTTCAACACCAACATCAGTCAAGTTAGTGCTTCTATGTAATGGTTGACAGACTGACTTGGAGCGTTACGAAACGTATTTCCAACAAACTACAGCCATTCATCACATCAACAGCTGCTGCTTACGCTCACTCGTTACTGAAGATCGATCAGATGGATGACCAGAATAACGAGAATAAGCAACGAGGAACTTTGACAATGAAGCAATGAAGCAAGAATCTATCACGCAACAAATATGCGGAAAACAGTGAGGATGGAGATGGGGACATCCAGCGCCAGGCCCTCTAGTGGAGTCAGAAGGAGGAAACGAAGAGTTGGGCGTCCGAGGTGAGGGTGACAAGGAGGAAATCATGTGAGGAAGAAATGAAATCTTGTGGGCAGTGGTGGAGCCAGGTTGAAAAGACTGCAGGGAAGAGAATGCAATAGCGGCGTGCTACTGAAGCCCTATGTTGACTAGGAACCCAACGGAAAAATAATAAATAGAAATAATCCTACTAGAATTTTTAATTTTAGGCGTTAAAGTAAATCATTGTGACTCACATAGTGGCAGCTTCATATGGGTGTAGTATATCAACTGTAGACTTCCTAATCTTATTCATAACAAAGTTTGCATTCGAAGAGTTATCTTTATGTTATCTCACCCTACATCGTTATCAGTGGATTAAGTTCAATATCTAAGCTCTCAACTTAGGGGTCTATCCAGTATGTTAAAAAAATTACATAAAGAAATGAAACACATAAGAGAAACTTTAGTTCTTGATAATTATCCTCCTAGATTTATTCAGAAATACTTAAGGATGCTTAAAAGTAAAAGTAAAATTAATGATCTAGTTACTTACATGTTGTTTTAAATGCAAACGACCTCTTGTATGGTTAGATGAGAGAAATTGATTGGTCTATGAAGAATTACCAATGTATTTTAAGGCTCATGGAGGTTATATTTCAAGGTAGTATTTATCACTAAC